CTTCTTCAGATCTTCCTCCTTTTCCCTGACTGGTGATAAAGATTCCCTTAACACTTGACAGTTTTTAGTATAACTGTCTGCGATCAAGTCGTATTCGTGATGCCTGTGACCATGAGCCAAGCAGTGAGAGCAGATTATTGTTTCACACATTTCACAAAAGAACTCAAAAGGTTTTCCATGATCACTGCACGTTGCTTCCTGATGATGAGGAGTAGAAAGATCTGTAGAAAGATCTGCTGCATGCTTTATAAGGCTTCTCATCTCTTTGAGGTTGTTGAGAGTGAATGCTACAGGAAAGGCTCCTGCTCCTTCTTCTGGTAACTCTGTACGATTACGACAAGTGGGACAAGAGAGGTAATAGGTCTCATTCTTTTTATCCAGAGGTAGCCCCTCCAGACAGTGCTGACAGAATGAATGTAGACAAGGTAAAGTCTTAGGGTTGGTATAGTGGTCAAGACACACAGGACAGGTGAGCTGCTCCTCCAGTTTGAGGAGACCAGGAGATTGCTGGACTGCCATGGCCAGAAATGGTGTAGTTTATCAATGAAGACTGAGCAAGAACTAAAAGTAAACAGGGGTTACAAAAAGGGGTGAAACCTTAAATTATATTCATAGCCCAGGCTCAGTCAGCCCACTCAAAAGTTTTGTGTTACTTAAAGAAGAAGGTGCACTATAAAACTATTCACGCAACGTCATGAAATCGCTTCCGTCGATCACACTATAAAAGGAGGTGCCCTGGGCACAATATGGCGGCCATATTTGAAAATAACAAAATGGCTCCCGCTCTGGCACTGTTCTTATCATGGCTAAATCACTAGCAAAACGCATTATAAAAGCATTAAAATTAGTAAAGGCGAGAGAGTTAACCTACAAGCACAGGTAGAAAGCATGGCAAGAAGAGAAATGGTATAATTGACTTGAAGTAATAATTTTTTTACATTATCAAATATTTATATTGTATATTCTGAAAATCTGTTAACAGCCTAACAAACATGGTCAATAATGCTGTCAGGCAGGTTATAAGTGATAGTGGCAAAGGAATAGACCTCATTGATAAAAAACCAGCCCAGGAACTGCCACCACTGGGACGGGCCAGAAGGCCTTGCCGACTACCAATTATCAGCCACCCTCATCAAGTAGAAGTGGTAACAGCAAAAGATCCCCACTTGGTCCTCAATCAGATCCTAGTACTGGTAGCAGTTGCAACATTCAACGATCCACTGGAAGTAGTAAATACAAAAATTATATTATTCTAAATTATTAAGCATATACAATAACAGAGTTGAATGGATATGGGGATGGTGAGAAGCTTCCTGTAGTTGTGTACATCTTCCCAACTGTACCAAGTAATGCCGATCAAAATATGGCAGTACT